TCAGATCCCCTGGAACTGGAGTTACAGACAGTTGTGAGATGTCATGCGAGTGCCGGGGATTGAACCTGGGTCCTCTGGAAGAACAGCCAGTGCTCACAACTGCTGAGCCATCTCCCCAGCCCAAAGGGTTTCATTATACTTTATGACTCTTACCACAATACTTTTTATACTGTGGTTAATAGATTTGGCTCTAAGTGTAAGTACTTGGTTTTAATGACTAGCTTAGATGAAAAAAAAAAGTACCCTTGCTGAACTGTGTAAGTCTAACTGCTTTTCAATTTCTGGGGTCAGAGGTCGGAACAGAGTCCAGTGTTTTGAGCATGTTAGATAAGAACTTTGCTACTGTGATGGATAATGCTGATTTTCAACTTGACTTGTCTGCGAAGGGGGAGCCTCCATCAGATTAGATTTGTCTGTGGGGCATTTTCTTGATTGCTAATTAATATAGAAGGGACCAGCTTACTGTGGGCAGTAAGTTCTAGGTAACTAGTTCTAGGCTGTAAAAATAAGCAGGCTGAGCAAGTCATGAGGAGCAAACCAGTAAGCAGTATTCCTCTATAATCTCTGCTTCAGTTCCGGCCCTCAGGTTCTATAAACCCTGAGTCTAAACCAGTCGCTCAATGGTAGAACCCTTGCCTAGCATGTGTGAGACCCTGACCACAGCCCCCAGCAGAGCGAAACAGGACAGGATGGGTCTCTCTTGGACTGTTCCAATCTGGGTCACTGGGCTGCAATTGGTTCTTCCTGGATACTCGGAGACTCATAGCTCTCATCTTTCATCTTCCAAATCAGCAATGCTGGGCTGAGACCTCATGCGGTCACTTCTTTTGCTCTTCTGTTTCCACGTAGAAACCACTAAGGTGCGCCCAGCATGACTGCACACATCTTTAATGCCAGTACTCGAGCGGAAGGCCAAGTGGATCTCTGGATTCCCGGCCAGCCTGGTCTACAGAGTAAGTTCAAGGACAGACACGGCTACACAGAGAAACCCTGTCTCAAAACAAACGAAAGGAAGGGAGGGAGGGAGGGAGGGAGGGAGGGAGGGAGGGAGGAGGAGGGAACCATATGATGACATTGGGTCCACCTGATGATGCGAGATAACCATCCCATCTCATGGACAAGTGATTTGCAACTTTGACTCAACAGTGATTTTAATTGACCTTTTCCATCTAACTTATTTGAGGCAAGGCATAAGCTCTGGCCTTTTCCTTCTTCCAACATGAGATTCCTGGGGGAAATTTCAGCTTCTTTTTTTTTTATTTTTTATTTTTGGTTTTTTGAGACAGGGTTTCTCTGTGTAACACTTCTGGCTGTCCTGGAACTAGTGCTTGTAGACCAGGCTGGCCTCGAACTCACAGAGATCCGCCTGCCTCTGCCTCCCGAGCGCTGGGAATAAAGGCGTGAGCCACCAACACAAATTCCAGCTTCTTAAGCACCATTTTTACAATTATTTCTGTAGACAAATAATATCTCCATTCTTTGCCAGGGGAGGGAGAAAAAAAGCATCCATACACATTAAATAAGCTATTCATTTTAAATTTTTTAAATTATTAAAAATACCTTCAAAAACATGTTCCAATAAAAGATTAGTATCTAAAATAATAATGAAAATAAAAATGATTAAAACATGAGCATAAGACTTTTTTTTTTTTTTGGTTTTTATGAGACAGGGTTTCTCTGTATTGTTTTGGGGGCTATCGGTCCAGCCCGGCCTCAAACTCACAGAGATCCACCTGCCTCTGCCTCCCGAGTGCTGGGATTAAAGGCATGCACCACCACCGCCCGGCATGAGCATAAGACTTAATAAACATTTCTCCAAAGAAGAAACACAACAGCCGGGCGTTGGTGGTGCACGCCTTTAATCCCAGCACTCGGGAGGCAGAGGCAGGCGGATCTCTGTGAGTTCGAGGCCAGCCTGGTCTACAAGAGCTAGTTCCAGGACAGCCTCCAAAAGCCTCAGAGAAACCCTGCCTCGAAAAACCAAAAAAAAAAAAAAAAAGAAGAAGAAGAAACACAAATGTCAGTAACTACATGAAGAGCTAAGGAGAGGGGAAACTGGGACATTGTTTAGTAGGTATGGAGTTTTGGTTTATCTTGTACGTATGTGTATGTGAGAGAGAGAGACAGTGTCTCAATATTTTGGCCAGAATGGTCTAGAACTCCTGAACTAAATGATCCTCCCACCTAGTCTCCTGAGGACCTGAAGTTATAGACAGACATGCATGATCATATCCAGCTTCAGAGTGCCAGTTTTATAAGGTAAAAAGAATATGGAGATGAAAGGTGATATGTTCATTTCCATGGCTGTGGCAAAATACTTGCACAAAGAACTTCAGAGGAGAAGGACTTGTGTTTGGCTCACAGTCTCAGAGATGTCAACCTGTGATTAGTGATGCCATTGTTTCCGGCCCCGTGCTGAAGAAGCACTTTATGGAAAAGGGTGTGGCAGAGTAAAACTACTCATGGCAGCTAGAAAGTGGAGACAGAGAGAGACACAGAGAGAGGAAGGAGGGGCTGAGGACGAGATATGCCCTTCAAAGACTTGACCCCAGCTAACTTTGACTTGGCCCTACTTTTCATTTAGTCATGAACTCATCAAAGAACCCCATAGATGAAGCTAGCTTACCTCCCAATAGCACCACTGCTCTGGCTAAAGCCTTTCTTTTTTTAAAAAAATTTAGGTTAGAAACAATCTTGTTTCACATGTCAATCCCAGCTCCCTCTCCCTCCCCTCTTCCCCCTCCCTCCCCACCAGGTTCCCCATGACTAAAGCCTTTCATTCATGACCCTTGGGGGATAATTCACATCAAAGCATAACTAACACTGGGGTTACTCCAGGAGAGCAGGGCAAACCCTGCTCCTTTCCTGGCCCTTGTGGAGGAGCACGTAGAGGAGGAAGGCAGCTAGACTCTAGGAATGGAAGCCTTGGGTGTGTACGCAGTTTACAGGATGTTACGTGCTCAGTGCGCTCCAAGCCTCCTGGCAGCAACTTTCTCTCTGAAGTTCCTAAATGCCAAGGTCACACCTATTCCCGTAGGGCCAACTATCAGCCACCACCCCTGTCACATCTGCCTTCAGATTTATGGTTAACGGTGAAGATATTGGAGCCTGGGAACGAGGAACCGAATTCCTCCAGTCCCAAAGTTGTCATGAAGGGCACGTGGTGGAGGGTAGTTCCCCTTGAGCAACTCTATAAATCCTAACCCCTGTGGCTCTTGGCTTGAGTGGACCCTTGAAGGCTGCAGGGAGGGGGGTGGCGGGAAGGAAGGAGGGTGGAAAAAATGAAGAGACAGGAAACTGAAGCAGAAGATAGAGAACAGATCTAACATCCCCCAGGTGTGACCACAGGGTTGTGACATTTCACCAGCAGTGCGGAAACAACTGTGAAGCCCCCAAATGAGAAGTGCGCTTGAGATAAGTCACTGGAAAGCGTGGGGGAGTTCAACGGTCCATACCTCTCAAGTGCAGACTCCAAGATCCTCAACTCAGACTTCCCAGAGGCTTAAGGTAGCCCACAAAGGAGTCCACCTTTAATCCCAAGTACACTAGGCCATGAGGGCGGATGGTTCAGGTGCCTGAGCACATCAGTGACCAACCCATCCAGAAGCAGGGAGGAAGGTTAGGGGAATTAAGTCAAGCAGGAGAGTTGGCAAGGGTCTTGACGGGCAGTAGGTCATATCTGTGTCACAGGCTGGAAGGATAAAAACGGGATTCGGTCAAGGAGGGTTGGCAAAGGTCCCATAGGCAGTGGGTCATATCTGTGTCATGGGCTGGCATTAAGAGAAAAGGAAATCTGGCTGGAGGGACAGTTCAGCAGGAAAGCACAAGGACCTGAATTTGATCTCCAAAACCCATGTTTTTCAAAAAGGGTGTGTATGGCGGCATGCATTTATCTCATCTCAGGGGAGTGGGTAAAGGAAGAGCCAAGGTTTGTTGGTTTGCTGGTCGGCCAGCCTCCTCTACTGGTCAGTGAGCTTGAGGAATGAAACCAAGGCTCTCTCCTGACCTCTACACATATGCATATATATGTGTATCCTCATACACATGAGTACCTGTACACATACATGCACACACACAAGGATTACAGGGTGATTTTACAGCTCAGAAAAGGACGCAGAAGACACAGGGCTAACTCTTGACCCTTAACTATAAGCAATGCTGGGAAGAGTTTGTGTGGTCATAAAAGCTAACCTGGGTTACACCAGCCTGGCTGCCGTCATGGCTCCTCCCTCTGGACATGCAATAGTTTCGCTGCATGTGTGTTGTATGAGGGGTGGGGATATAGCTCAGATGACAGTGTTTCCAAGGGTGCGAAAAGTCTTAGCTTCAATCTTCAGCACCACATACACCTGGTATGGTAGCACACCCCTGCAACATTAGCAGCAATGGCATGATGGCACACCCTATAACAGCGGCGGCGGCATGGTGGCACCCCCATCAGTAGCAGCGGTGCCATGGGGGCACACCCTTGTAACAACAGCAGCACGCAGGAGATGGATGCAGAAAGGTCAGATTCCAAAGCCATTCTCAGCTACACAGCGAGGCCGCCTTGGGATAGGCAAGACCATCTCCCAAAGCTATGTTGTGTTGAGTTGTGTCTTCCCACCTCTAATGGGGTGTTTTGTGGCGCTAGTCTTATGCAGTGTCGTGATTCTAAAAACAATCTGACCCTATGAACTTCAGAAGCAGTCTGCAATCTGGCGCCTTTACTTCCATTCTCTGGAAGGGATGTGTGAGAGGAGACAGATGAGGCTCACTGACCAGGGACAGATGAGGGCGTCTAGTGTCCAGGTCTGTGAGCACGCAGCACCCTCCCCTGTAAAGGAAGCACATGCAGAGGGGTTAGCTACTGGCTTCTTGAGCGAGGGTGGTGGAAGCCAAGGAGGGCACGTGTCTGTAAAGAACAGCAGCGCTGGGTTTGCCCCTTCAGTCTCCAGAGTGCGGAAAAGAAAAGGGGGCGGAGGCTGTGGTGAGGAAAAAAACAAAAGACAGCCTCAACTGCTGTCAGAGATTGGCTTACCACCCAAGTGGAGGCTCCGTGGCTGCTGCCCAGAGCACGAAGGAGTCACTAGTGCCAAGGCACCGACAGCCCGGGCTCAGAAAAGATCTCCCTGGGCAGGAGCCATGGCTCGGCCACCTCCCTACTGGCTCTGCCTGCTGGGGACCGTGATAGGGCTCTCAGCCACCCCAGCTTCCAAGAGCTGTCCAGTCAGACATTACTGGACACGGGGAGGACTGTGCTGCCAACTGTGTAAGCCAGGTAAGAGGAGGCCTCAGGAGGCTGGGGAGAGGCTGGTTAAAATGAAGAGAGCGGCCCGGGGTAAAGTTGAGCTCAAGCAGAGTCAGGCAGCCTGCAGAGCCTGGGGGAGTCACCTCGCCTGGACCTTGATTCCGGACCCTCTGCTCACAGGTACTTTCTTTGTAAGTGACTGTAGCCAGAACAGAACAGCTGCCCTGTGTGAACCGTGTACACCAGGCGTCTCCTTCTCTCCAGACTTCCACACCCGGCCCCACTGTGAAAGCTGCAGGCACTGTAACTCTGGTAAGAGGGGCAGGGTGTGCAAAAGGGGGCACGGGGCAAGTCCGGGGCTGCGAGGCTGGGGGAGCTAGTGGGCAGGAGCCAGAGGAGTTTCAGCAGCTTCAAGGCTCACGGGAAGTGGAGCCTTGGGCAGGACATGTGGGGAGATTCCTAGTGCTTCCTGGAAGATGTGCAGATTTGAAGGATCAGTGAGGACTCTGTAGATAGGATTGAGACGATAAAAAGGGCGATGTTCCCCGTGCAGTGGCACGTGCCCACAGTCCCAGCTAAAGGCAGGCAGAGGCAGGAGGATCACTTGATGGCAGGAGTTCAAGGCCAGCCTGACCTTGTCTCAAAAAACAAAAACAAAACCAAGATGGCTTAGTAGCAAAGATACTTGCCACCAAGCCTGGTGACCTGAGTTCATTCCCTGGGCCACATGGTAGAAGGAAAGAATCAACTTGTAAGTTGTCCTCTGAGCTCATATGTGTGCATAAGTACACACGAAAATGAAAAAGTATCATTTTCTCAGTGTGGTGGTGCATACCTTTAATCCCAGCACTCAGGAGGCAGAGGCAGGCAGATCTCTATAAGTTCAAGGCCAGCCTGGTCTACAGGTCAGGTTCCAGGTCTGCCAGAGCTGTTATACAGAGAAAGCCTGTCTTGGAGGGGGGGGGGAGAAGAGAGAGGGAAGAGAGGGTCTAGAGGGAAGAGAGAGGAGGGGGAGAGAGGAGAAGAAGAAAAGAAGAGAAAAGAAAAGGTGAAAAATGTAATTTAAGGGGGGATAGTTCCAGAAACTCAGTTCTCAGAAAAGCAACTTATAGTCAATGAGCCGCCTGTGTCCTGGGTTCCCACAGTATACATTTGCAGCCCAGCTGTTCAGAACTTGGAGTCAGGAAGCCACAGGGTAACAACCTTTTTGCACAAAAGCCATTTTGTGGGAAAAAGCAAATAGCTCTGTCCTTTCTCTTAACTTATAAATGTCCACTGTTTGCCAGTGAAGAGGTAGGATATATCTGTTTTCAAACTCTGCTGTCATGTCCCCACCTCTGCTAGGGATTCAGGAAGTCTGTGTTATCGTATCACTTCTTTAAGATGGGGAAGTTTGTGCTCAGTTCAGGACCAGTAAGGACCCCTACGTCCTAGTATTCCCAACTGAAGACAACAGCACATCACCCACCATCAGCAGCCCAGCCCCCACCGTAGTCCTCCAGGCTCCTCCCACTCTGCCTGGGCAGACCCTGCTCCAGGCTGGCTCACAGTTACTGATAGGCCGCAAAGAAACTAAGTTCTCATAGCAACTTGATCAGAATTCAGAAAAGCGGCCTTAGGACCATAGAGGAATTGTCCTGTCCTTCCTTCTGTCCTGACAAGCCTTAAGCAAAAGAAAACTGTTAAGAGTTGGCGCAGATCTTTGCTGTCCGCTGTTCTCTACATCCCTCTTCTACCTGTAGGACTCCCAAGATTGTTGTCCCACAAACAAATGCTGTCGCCTTCCAGGGAGTCACCCCCACAACCCCTTCAACCTACAATTCCAGCACAGCACCCTGCCCCCAGACATAACTGACTGCAGTTCCCAGCACTGGTCCTATACTAGACTAAACTTCCTATTTTAAGGGCAACAGATACCCACAATCAAGTTAGTCTCTGGTAAAGTTAAAAACATACCAGGAATCATAGGGACACCATTCCTAACGGCTAAAATCTAGAGGCTCCTCAAATGTCCACTGGCGGCAGAAGGGACAGACACATGCTGGGTGGTGTACCCATACAACGGAATGCTAGGTAGCCATGAGAAAGAATGATCTGTAGTTAGAGCCAACAGCATAGGTGAAATTCACAAAGGGTTGAATAAAAGAAGCCAGACAGAAGTCAGGTCACACTGCATGATTCCATCCACACAGCACAGATATGAGCACGGTTGTTTTGTGGTGACAGAAGTCATGGCAACAGCCACTTTGTGAGAGCTTTGTTAATGGGAGAGGACATAAGAAAATAGTGTTGGTTATCTGCTGTTTCTTAATGTGCTGCTGGAAATACCTGTGAGACTAATTTGTGAGTCTAATTTTTATTTATTTTTTGAGACAAAAGATCACTATGTAGCCCTGGCTATCCTGGAGCTCACACCCAGCTGGCCCCAAACTCCTGCCTCACCTGAGTGCTGGGATTAACGGTGTGCACCACCACACCTGGCGATTTTTTTAAACTTGTAATTACATTTCTTTATTTACTTGTGTGGGAGGAGCGCATGCCAGCCACAGTTTGTTGGTAGGAGTCAGGGGACAGCTTGCAGGAGTCAGTTCTCTTCTTCCAATACATGGGCCTCAAGGATTGAACCCGGGTTTGGCATTGGGTGCTTTTACCTGCTGAGCCATTGCTCTGCCTCTCGTACGGAATCTTAAACTTGGAACTTATGATGTGTATATCTCTACAGAAGTACATGATACACTAATAAAAAGCTTAAAGTAGCAATGAGTAGGAAAGGAAATCATACAATTTCCTACTTGCAGTTTCTGTTTCTGAGTCCATGAGTTTTTTGTCAACCATTCTTCAGAAACAACAGCAAGACAGTAGGTGACAGAGAGGGAGGGGAAGGGGTGGGCAAGGATGAGGTGATGGGAATGGGAAAACATGTTGTCCTTTGAGTAGGTCTCTGGCGAGGGTCAGGACAAGCAGAGACCTCAGGTCCCTAATGCCTGCTGTACCGTTTCTCCTGGCCCTCCCTTCTCCCAAGGCCTACTCATTCGCAACTGCACAATCGCTGCTAATGCTGAGTGCGCCTGCTCCAAGGGCTGGCAGTGCAGGGACCAGGAGTGTACGGAGTGTGATCCTCCCCTAAACCCGGCACTGACCACACAGCCATCTGTGGCCCCAGGCCCACACCCACAACCCACCCACTTACCTTATGCCCAAGGTATGTAGCAGGCTGCCCCTGGTCCGGTCCTTTGGGGAGAGGAAGCCCGCCTACCTCGCATTGCCCACTCCGCACTAACCCTGAGTTAGGTTCTGAGCTAACTGGTCTCCCTTCTGTCTCACTCTTGCAAAATCACAGATATTCAGCCCGGTGCATCCTGGGGGAGGGGGGTCCTGCTGTTATTCACTCTGTCTGTTTCTTCCAGAGATGGCAGAGGCCAGGACGGTCTGGCCTGTACACACCAGGCAGTTTCCTGCCTCAACTCTGTATAACCACTGGCCATGTGAGTTGTCTCCCTAATCCCCATCGCTCAGAGAAAAGTGCAGAGGGCAGAGGGCAGAGGGCAGAGGGCAGAGGGCAGAGGGCAGAGGGCAGCCACTGGGAAACCCCTAAGCATGGGGTGAGGGGTAGGGGTATAGAGCTGAGGAGAGCGTTCAGTGGACAAGGATGCTGCCTATGGAAGCATGAAATGAGGACTGGAGTCATGCATCTGCAACCCCAGCATTCAGAGGCAGAGACAGAGCCACCTTAGCTAAAACAGTCAAGTTTCCGTTCAGAGAGGAACCCTGTCTCAAGGGAGCATGCTTGACTCTGAATGCACACACAAGCACTCACTTGTGGAGAAAGAGGTGGACAGACAGACAGACAGACAGAGCAGGAGGCAAAGGAGGGGAAAGCACAATCTAGTTAGAGATTAGGAGATGGGGACTGGTCCAGCAGGGGAAGGGTGATGGTGGGGGAAAGGTCCGCTTGGGCTGAGGGACTCCAAGGTTAGACCCTCCTGCAAAACCTCTGAGCCCCCTTGCCTGTCACAGCCCAAAGACCCCTGTGCAGTTCAGACTGTGTCCGAATCTTTGTGACCTTCTCCGGCATGTTTCTTGTCTTCATCCTGTGTGGAATCTTGTTCTTCCATCAAAGAAGAAATCGTGGACTAAGTAAGAGACAGGCCTCCCCTCCTTCCCCCAGCCCACCGTCTCAGCTCTGCTAGCCACACCTAAAGTCCCAACCAACTTCACCCTACTCTCACTCCTCACTGTCCTTCCCACGCTCCCCCTTTTCTCTTCTCTTCTCACCTTCCTTACCCCCCACCCCCACCCCTGCTCTCCACTGCTGACCAAGACTGTCTTTCCACAGATGAAGATAGCCAGGCAGAGCCTGAAGAGCCTTGTCCTTACAGTTGCCCCAGGGAAGAGGAGGGCAGTGCCATCCCCATCCAAGAAGACTACCGGAAACCTGAGCCTGCTTCCTACCCTTGAGCCAGCACAGGGTGGGGCTTTCCACTGAGGCACCGCCCCGGGGGATCTCCCCTACCACCCTCATCAGAGCCCTTTCCTGTGTACACTTGACAAACTGCACTTCTGAGACTGATAGCGACAACAGCAGGATCCCCAATGTGTTTGGTCCAGCAAACTTGGGGCAGCCCAGGCTCTGGATATAAAGCACACTTATTATAAATGAAGCCCTACAGCTGGCAAAATTACAAGCTGAAAATGGCCAGCCACTCAGCAGTGAAGAACACACATTGTTCTGTTGGAGGACCAGTATTGTCATATTGAATGGGCCACCAGGGGAAGCCCTGCAGAAGCCCTGGTTCCACCTGCCAGAGAGACACTATCTACAGACACACGTACTTCCTGCTTTGGTTTCATCTTCTCTAGAAGTCGACGCTGCTGTGAGCAAAGTAGAGAGTGTGGCTTTCTCTCGGCTTAAGTTAAAACTGTAAATAAACTCGTTTTTCTAGTTCTATATACACTGTCCTTTTCTCTCAGTGTGGGCAAGCATCAGAACCCAAAGTCGGGCCTTATGGTCCAGGGACTCCAGTAATAGTTGTGGAAGCTCTACAAGCTAGTTCCTGTCCTACAAAAAAAAGGGGGGGGGCGTTCTGGGAAGAAGGCATGAAGGGTGAGTTCCAGCACCCCTCAACAGAAAAAACAAAACCCAGAACTCACATAACAACATAAGAAAACAAACAAACAAACAAAAACAAAAAGCTGGATGTGGCCCTGTGTGCTTGTAATTCAAGGGGCAGCTGTGCCAGGAGGGCAGGGATAGGTCACTGGCACTTGTTGGCCACCAGATAATTCCAAGCTCAGAGAGAGACCCTATCTCAAAATAAGGTGGAGTGAGTAAGGCGGCAAGATACCCAAGTGTCCTCACTGACCTCCACTCGCAGGATGACTGCAGAGCACTCCCACACAAGTGTACACACCACACACAACACAATTTAAAGTGAAACCCCACATGGTAGTTCTCCCGCTTCCTGAAACCCCGACCCCACAGTCAGGCCACACCCCATCCCATCACGGGTCTGGATCTGGACGGGGAGTTGTCACCAGGGCTGATCAACAGATTTCACAAGGACCTAAAGGATGAAGGGTCCAGAGCACAGGGGATCTCTCTTCGGGCTCCATCCCTTCTCGGGCTTCCTCGTGGGGCTGATGGGAAACAAAACGAGGTGAAGATGTCGGGATTTGGGGTTTCTTGGGCGCGGGGCCAACAGAAGAAGAGTGAGGAGGGTTCTGGCCCCCGCTGCCGGCTTCAGGTGACTTAGGCTGGCGAAGTGAAAGTGAAAGAGGACTCAGAGGAAGCGCGCTGAGCACCAGCGGCCAGCGAGTGAGAGGGGCTCAAAGGAGCCCTCTCTTCAGCCCGCGACCTCTTGCAGAACTGTGGAGAAGGCAGCCGCCGAGGAAGAGCCTGAGAGCAGCCTCCATGGGCTCGGAGCCCAGCTGGTGTCTGCTGCTCTGTTTGGCTCTCTCTGGGGCAGCAGGGACTGGTGAGTGTCGCGATCCGGTTAGGGGGTGGGGAAAGGAAGCCTTGAGCTAAGGGAGTCCCGGGGAGCCACCTACCCAGACCAGAACAGCGACAGACACATCCGATTGCTTTCTAAGCCCAGTGGATGAGAGGGTTACGGTCTGAGAACACGAGCACACACACACACACACACACACACACACACACACACACACACAGTAAAAAGGGGCTTCCTGTATGGAAGCGGCAGGGTGCCACCATTCCATGGGAAAGGGCACTGCCCCTTAGAGGAAGAAGGGGCTTCTGGGGGCTAAGAAGTCACCTGGGAGGCGACTCCTGGAGTAGGAGAGGCGAGGCCGCAATGGCAGAATGCAGAACCTCTGGGCAGACTGGGAAATGAGAAAATGGCTGTCAGTGTCCCTAGGAACAGCAAGTGCCCAGCTCCTCTCCTCCATGGCAGCATTTGTTCCTTTATTTTTTACTAGGAATTCCTTTCAAAATTTTTCCTTGTATTCCACAGTTGGACTATAAAATTTTTAAAGTATAAATCCCTCTGACTCTGAGCAGGACAGATCCAGAACTTAAAACAGTTCACCGAGTAGCTGCCTGAGTAGCAGGTGCCTCCCCGGAAGTTGGGTTTTTAGATGGTATGACACCAAGACCGCAGGACCCAGGGGCGACTTTACCTGCTGACCAGCCTGTGGCTTGGGAAAGGGCTGGGAAGCAAGTGTAGAGGAGGAAGGTGACCTCCTCGCTTTCCCTGCAGAGCCCCCCACAGCAGACCGACGCTGGCGAGCCACCGACATAGTCTTAGACTGCTCCTTGGTGACGGATGACAGGCATCGAGGGGCCTTTGGCAGCAGTGGGGACAAGCAGAACGCTTTGCTTGTGCTGAAGCAGGTGCCAGTGCCAGATGATGGCTCCCTAGAAGGCATCACCGATTTCCAAGTGAGCACAGTGCCCAGAGATGACACACCTAGTATCTTCGAGGCCTCAGGTAAAAAGCCTTCCTTCCTAGCGTCCTCCATGGGGTCAGCCCAGTTCCCAGTCATATCTACCCACACCTGATTCCCACCTGCCGGGTGTCCATCCAGCATCCGTTCTGTGTGTCACCCTTCTCCCCAGTGGACTCCGTACAGATTCCCCAGGCAGAGGCCTTGCTCCATGCTGACTGCAGCGGGAAGGCGGTGACCTGCGAGATCTCCCAGTATTTCCTCCAGGCCAGACAAGAGGCCACTTCTGAGAGTGCAGCTTGGTTCATCAGCAACATGCAGGTATCTAGAGGGGGACCCAGTGTCTCCATGGTGATGAAGACTCTAGGAGATGCTGAAACTGGAGCTGTCTGGCACCCTACACTGAACCTACCTCTGAGTCCCCAGGGTACTATAAGGACTGCAGGTAAGAAGACAAATTCTGTTACGTTTGCTTAGTGTGTGTGCGCGTGTGTGTGTGTGCGCGCATGCGCGCGCGCATATCACAGCACAGGTGGACATCAGAGGACGCGCTGTGGGAGTGGGTTCTTCTCTCTACCGTGTGGCTTCAGGAACTGGGCTTGGCTGCAAGCCCTTTTACCCACTGTGCCATATCAATAGCCCCAAGTCTTCTTTTCCTTTCTCTTTTTTCCTTCTCTCTTTCTTTCTTCCTTTTCTTTTTTCTCCTTCCTTCCTTTCTTTTCTTTCTTTCTTTCTTTTTTTTTTTGGCTTTACGAGACAGGGTTTCTCTGTATTGTTTTGGAGGCTGTCGGTCTAGCCCAGCCTCGAACTCACAGAGATCCGCCTGCCTTCGCCTCCTGAGTGCTGGGATTAAAGGCGTGCGCCACCAACGCCCGGCTTCTTCCTTTCTTTTTAGTTGTGAGAAATGGGATAGAAGGCAGGACAAAGTCTGTAGTCTATCACGTAGGTCCTCTTGGGTACCCATAGACCTTCATCTTTTCTTTCTAAATATCCTGAGTCCAGAGGAGAAGATGCTGGGAGATCCTTACTTGATCAAGGGTCAAAATATAAAAATCATCAGGTATTTTCTTCAAAATGGAGAGATGACTTTTATCTCACTGGGCCTCACGTGAAAATGACACATACTTTGTCACTGCTCTCTTATTTAGCCAAACACCTATTTTCTCCCAGTAAAAAGTGAGCGTGGTCTGGTATTTCACGGTAATTACAGCAGAACACGGGAGACAGAATTCCTTCTGTACTCTTATTAATCAACCCCAGTCCTAGGGGAGGAACTTGGTCTTGCTTAAACTTGATGTGCCATGCTTTGTTGACACCCATGGGAGACCTGCCCCTTGCTAAATGAAAAGGGGGGGATGCAGAGTGGGGAGGGACAGGAGGAGAGGAGGGAGGGGAAACTCGTTGGGATGTAAAATTAATGAAAAAATTTAATTAAAAAGAAAGAAAGCCAGTCCTTGCTCTCTCCCACTCAGCACCATCTGCCAGGCACAAAGAAATTGAAAACATGATGACAGGTGTCTGAAGTCCAGGTTCACATTTTGCCTCCAAAAGGAGACAACCCAGCACGTAAAAAGCTGAGCAGCTGGGAGTTAGTGGTGCACGCCTTTAATCCCAGCACTCTCAGGAGGCAGAGGCAGGCGGATCTCTGTGAGTTCGAGGCCAGCCTGGTCTACAGAGTGAGTTCCAGGACAGGCTCCAAAACAATACAGAGAAACCCTGTCTCAAAAAAACAAAAAAAAACAAAAACAAAAAAAAAACCAACAAACAAACAAAAGGAGACAACCAAGTTCACAGAAGATGGGGGAGGGGTTCCTCTCCTATCCCGGGGAACCCCTAAAACATTAACCTTTATTATTATCTTGTCCTGTACTGAGGATTGAACCTAGAGCTTTGCACATGCTAAACAAGTACTCTACCACTGACCTACAGCTGCAACTCCTTTTTCAGCTTTTGTTATGAAATGGGGAACTCACCAAGGTGCCCAGGCAGGCCTTGAACTTATGTTCCTGTCATGCCTCCTGAGTCACTAAGAGTACAGGTAGGCACTACCACTCTCACTGCCCCTACAGCCCTCTCTAAATGAACCCTGACACATCAGAAAAGATGTCCAGCATCTCCCACAGGCCTTATGTGGCTTAGAGCTTCTCCCATTTTGAGATTATTCAAACCTACAAATAAAGCCATTTGTGGTGGCGCATTACTTTGATCCCAACACTCAGGAGACAGGGGCAGATAGATCCCTGAGATTTCAAGGCCAGCCTGGTCAACAGAGTAAATTCCAGGACAACCAGAACTGTTTCACAGAGGAAAACGGAAGGAAGGAAGGAAGGAAGGAAGGAAGGAAGGAAGGAAGGAAGGAGGAAGGAAGGAACTACAATTAAGTGAGATAACATACATCCACACAGCCTTGACCTATTTCACCAGGTATTCATCTTGTCATACTTCCTCTCTGCCTCTGCTAAAACAGAGACCTAGTCTCCCCTTGAACTGACTAGACCATAGGTAACATATCACCTCACCTCCAAATGTCCCTTTCCCATGTACGGTTATAACTTACAGCTGAAAGTCAAGGCCACTGGGTTTCACGATCACCAGACAGTGAGCCCAGAGGCATATGATGGCTGGGGAGTCAGCTACTCACAGTGACAAGGGGTCCGGGCATGTAGAACTTCGTAGTATTTTAGTCACGGAAGGAGAATTAAACGGGACAGCTAGGTGGGGTTGTGCGCATGTACGGTCCTAGCCCTGGAGACTGAAGCCTGTGCCATGCCACCCTTGCAGAGCCCCCGCTTATTAGCAGCTCCGTCGGACAGGAAATGAACTCAATCAGCGCCACTGTCCAGGCAGGGGGCTGGAGAAGCTGTCTGTCCACAGCTCAGAGGCCATGTGACCTCCAGGAGGGAAACAGCCCACAAGCCACGCTGTTTTCTCTCTACAGTGGAGTTCCAGGTGACATCAGACACCCAAGCCCTGAGCCGTCCGCTGGGGTCCTCTGTGTCCCTGCACTGCAGTTTCTCCCTGGCACCAGGCCTGGGCCTCGTCGGAGTGGAGTGGCGGCTGCAGCACAAAGGCAGTGGCCAGCTGGTGTACAGCTGGGAGACAGGGCAGGGGCAGGCTAAGCGCAAGGGCGCCACACTGGAGCCTGAGCGGCTACACGCGGCCGGGGACGCCTCTCTCACCTTACCCAACCTCACTCTGAAGGACGAGGGGAACTACATCTGCCAGATCACTACCTCTCTGTACCAAGCTCAACAAATCATCCCGCTTAACATCCTAGGTAAGGCCTGGCCTTGGTTTCTGTGGGGATAGGGAAGCCTACTGGGAGTCTTTTCCAGACTAGAATCCAAAGCCAAAGGGAATTTCCTGAGAAAAAGAAGGCATTCCCACAACCTAAACACCATCTCATCCTGAAGGCACAGACGGCACCAAATAAGGAGTCCCATTGAGTGCCAAGATAATTCCCCCAAGAAATAACTAGTCCAGAATCTTGCAGCGCTGACTGGTCACCTGTAATTTCAGTTCCCTAGAGCACTTCCTTGAGGGGACCTGCAGGTGTCTAGGCTGGGAAGCAAACCATGAAGAAAAGAGAATGAAAACTCAGTTCACACTGACTTTGTGAACCTGGGTCAGACTTGGGGAGTCTGATATCAGGCAGATTGTTCCCAACAAATTTAAACACAGTATAATTGGGAAAGAGTCCCCTGTAATACAATCCCCCATAATTACATCAAAACTTCGTTATTTCTTCCAGATTCTAGAGATAGGCTACCTGCATTAGCTTAAAGGCCTAAGACTACACAGTTAGTGTAGAGGTCATCCAGACTGTTGGTCACATCTAGTTCTGGTTGTGGGAGCTGGAGGGAGCCTCTGGCTATCGGGATCATTGGATTACTAGCCACCTCTGGTCTTGGTTGTAAGAGCTTGATATGGCCTGGCCCAACACATGACACATGTCACAAGGCTGTTTGTCATTTCCAGTTCTCAGCTTTCTGGGTGGAAAAACAGTTTTCTCATCTTTCCTATTGGAAAGACAATCCTGTATGCTTACCATTCCTGGTTTCTCTGGAGATCTGTGGGGGCAAGGACTTCCATGCTCTGTTCCCAACACTTCCTGAGGGGGGCAGCAGCCAATCAAGGGCAGGCAGAAGCAACAGTTCTGAGCACAGCGTGCAGTCACTGGCTTGCAGGGGTAATAAGGATCAAGCCAGGGAAGTATGGCTCAGTAGTGTAGCACTTGCTAGTACGTGTAAGACCCTAGGTTGATTTTCCAGCTCTATAAAAAAGGTAAAGATGTATGCTGGTCTGTCACTGACTTTATCATTCCAGAAAATGCATCCTTTTATGACCTGCATCCAGACAGACCCTTACCCCAACCCCTTGGAACACTGAGAAGTTTCCATCTCCACAGCCTACCCTCACTCTCAAGAGGCCACAGGCTCCTCTGCAGGCCCTAATCAGATGCCTCCACAATCTTACTCCTCATTCTCTCTCCAGCTCCCCCCAAAGTGCAACTGAACTTGGCAAACAAGGACCTGCCAGCCTCCCTCATCTGCAGTGTCACCGGCTATTATCCTCTGGATGTGGTGGTGACATGGGTCCGAGAGGAGCAGGGTGGAATTCCAGCCCAAGTCTCTGGTGCCTCCTTCTCCAGCCTCAGGCAAAGCATGATGGGAACCTACAGCATCTCCTCCACTGTGACGGCTGAGCCTGGCCCCACAGGCGCCACTTATATCTGCCAAGTTACCCACGTCTCCCTGGAAGAGCCCCTTAGAGTCAGCCTGAGGGTTTTCCCCCACACAGGTACTGGGAGTGTCCCATCTCTTCCTGCTTCCAGGTCATCGTCGGCCTCTGCTGACGCTCTCACACTGGCTCTGTTTCACCTGAATATAAGTGCACCATGTGCATGTAACACTCACAGAGGTCAGAAGCAGGCATCAGACCCCCTGGGACTGGAGTTACAGATGGTTGTCAGCCACCATGTGGTTGCTGGGAATGGATCCCCAGGCCCTCTGCAAGATCAACAACAGAGCTCTTAACTGCTTAGCCAACTCTCCATCCCTGATATACTTAACTTTTAAGTATGATGTCACACATTACAACTATTTATTTTTGGAATGGGTCTTATTGTTGTCATTCAGGCTAGCCTCAAACTCCTCTGTCCAACCCATCCTCCTACTCAGCCTCCTAAGTAGCTGGGACTACAGATACCATGACCATGTCTAGCACTCATCTTATGTATGAGTAAGCTGGTATTTTCAGACACTGAGCAGTTTGCCCCAGGTTCTCTACCAGTAAATAGTGAAAGAGAAAATGTAGCCAGCAGGCAAGCTGAATGCCCTTACAAGTTTACACCCTATAATCTAGATGGGCCACACACTAAAGCTTCATTCCAAAGGCCACAGAATATTGCAGTTTTACGCAGGAAAGGGTATGAACCTCAAAATGAAAATATCCAAGAGCCCAAGACATCATTTAGTTGCCCACCAGGCTATGCGCTTCCCCAAAACTAAAGTTTTGTTTTAACTCACACTATTCCCAGCTGTTACTTGCTATGTAGCCTCGGTCTCTTCTGTGAAACACTTTCAAATGTCTAAGGTAGAGTGGGGAGGGATAGTGGTGTGTGCCCATAGTCGAAGCACTAGAAGGCTGCAGCAGGGTCTAAGTTCAAAGCCAGGGATGACCAGGGAGACCCTGCCTGAGAACTACGAAGTCCTGATGTGAGAAGAGCCAGACAGTAACACATAAATGCGACAGTCTTGAACAAGTGCAGGTGCCGCTGTGTGCAGGGACCCAGGGCCTCCTGAAGCTTCATAAGCACCCACACCAGAACTCACCTCCTATGGGGAGGGGTGCTCTAGGGGGAGGGGTGCCCTAGGGGGAGGGTGCTCTAGGGGAGGGGTGCTCTAGGGGGAGGGTGCTCTAGGGGGAGGGGTGCTCTAGGGGAGGGGTGCTCTAGGGAGAGGGGTGCTCTAGGGGAGGGGTGCTCTAGGGGAGGGGTGCCCTAGGGGGAGGGGTGCTCTAGGGGGAGGGCTCAGCACGTGGTACTGTGCTCCTCACCCCACAGAGCAGAGAACAGCCTTTGGAGTTGTCTGTGCCAGCATCCTCTTCCTTCTCGCACTGTTGTTTCTGGGACTTCGGAGACAGCAAGGTGAGTCTGTAGATCAACCCACTCGTAAGCACCTGCCCACCCAAACCAAGCCCGTTGTTCCGAGTTCTGGATGTTTCCACTGTGTCCCCAACACCCCGTTTGAACCCAATCTTGTTCTCTTTTCTCTCAGTTTCTTTGCCAAGGCCCACCAAGACTATGAGGCACTCCGGGTAGCCGCTCTCTTGCTTCCAAATAAAAAGTGGAGTTCCCATGTTCTAGCTACCAAAGGGCACCCGTGCTGAGGTGTGGGACTGAAAAAGGCCTGAAGGAGACACCCCATGTAGGAGTGAGGTACTCGTCCTGGTCTGTACAGGTCTCTGCCTTCCTTCCCTGTTGAGAAGATCCTGGGCAGATGGAAAAGGAGGCAACAGCCAGGCGTTGGTGGCGCATGCCTTTAATCCCAGCACTTGGGAGGCAGAGGCGGGCGGATCTCTGTGAGTTCGAGGCCAGCCTGGTCTACAGAGCGAGTTCCAGAACAGCCTCCAAAACAATACAGAGAAACCCTGTCTCGAAAAAACAAAAAGAACAAAAGAAAAAGGAGGCAACAACAGGAGGGCAGAATTATCTGAGTGAAGGCTAACACCAAAGTCAAAGATGGGGAAGCAGGGTAGGGGCTGGCCACCACTCACACTCTTAACACTGTCAAAATAAAACACTTTGTGTCTACAGAGCGAAGCTTTTCTGCTTTCTCCCTGTTGGTCCCAACAGATCCCTGGGTCCCCATTCCTAGCTGCTCCAACATGCAGTTTAAAGGTATGAAGCAGAGGCCTACCAGGGCTACATCCCCACTGTGTATAACCAGAAATTAAAGTTCTGACCCTGCAGACAGCTGCCGGGAGTTTTATGAGAGGTTTCTTGTGCTCATTTATATGAAGCATATTGTAAATACAGTACACCTCAGCATATAAAAACTGGACTATGCAGTCTATTATCAAAAAATAAATAAATAAAACTGGGAGGCTAGAAAGATAGCTCAGTGGCTAAGAGCACTGCTTGCTCTTCCAGAGGACCTGGACTTGGCTTCCAGCACCCACCTGGCAGCTCCCAACCATCTATAACTTATTCTAAGGAATCCAGTGCCCTCCTCTGGCCTCCTTGGGCACTAGGCATGCATGTGGTACACAGACATACATGCAGGAAAAACAAGTATACACATAAAATAAAAACAAATATATCTTTTAAAAATGTGTGTGTGTGTGTGTGTGTGTCTGTCTGTCTGTCTGTCTGTGCACCACATGCATGCAGAAGCCCAGAGGTCAGAAGAGGAGCTGGAGTTATCCACAGTTGTGAGCGGCCATGTGGAAACAGAACCTGGGTCCTCTGAAGTTCTTTTTCAGATTGGTTTATTTTATTGTTTTATGTGTGTATAAGTATTTTGCCTGCATGTATGTATGTGTACCACCTGCATGCTGGTACCAGAAGAGAGCATCAGATCTCCTAGGACTGGAGCTACAGGTGGTTGTGAGCCATCATGTGGGCGCTACGGATCGAGCCTGGGTCCTCTGCAAGAGCAACAAGTGCTCTTAACCCCTTCAGAGCCAACTCTCCAGTCCTAAATAAAATTAAAGAACAAAAAACAGGAATGATGGTGTATGCATTTAATCCCAGCACTCAGGAGGCAGAGGCAGGCAGATCTCTGAGTTCAAAGCCAGCTTGGTCTACACAGTGAGTTCCAAGATAGCCAGGGATACACAGAGAAACTTTGTCTTGAAAACACAACAAATAAAAATTCCCTAGGCTTAGAAGTCAGAGAGCAAAGGAGGTGGTGGAGGGGCTAGAGAGTTGGCTCTGCAGTGCAGTTAGAGCACTGGTTGCGCTTGCAGAGGATCTGTCTGCTTCCCAGCACTGACATGGTGGCTCCCAGCCACCTGTAAACCCAGCACCGACATGGTGGCTCCCAGCCATCTGTAAACCCAGCTCCATGGGATCTGATGCCCTCCTGGCACACGTGTGGTGTAGATTTATGCAGGCAGGCAAACACTCACACACTTAAACAGGAATAGATCTTAAAAAGCGAATTTGCTATTTCAGAAGACCTTAGTCTGGAGAATGCATTGAAGAGACAAGCACAGTGGTGCACACTGCAAACCCCTGTCTTAACAAAACAAAACAAACAAATAAATAAAAGCTAATTAAAAGGGGTACACAAACTATGCATGAGGATGAGAAAAAGGCTGGAAGTCTCATCTAGGCACAACCCTTAAAATACAACAAGCCAGAAGAGGCAATGGGAGAGGCCTGAGAAAGCCTTCAATTGTTGCCGATATGAGAAAGCCTGCAATTGTTGCCAGCATGAGGTGCCCACTCAGCTTCCTGTCATCATTTCCTCTCACCAGCACCTGCAAGCACTGGGTTGCTTCAGGTATAAAGGCTAAGAACACAGACCACTTCCTCTGCCAACACAGGGGCTTTAATTTCCAAGAAGACCAAAGAACACACAAGAGTCAGCCCTTTTGGCCTATAACCAACCTAGGATGACACTCCCTTGTCCCCCTCCCTGGTACAACAACCCAAACAACAACCAAGTCCATGTTGTGGTAGGAATTTGTATTTTTCACCTTTGTTGAGAATACATGAAATTGGTATGTCACATGCCTTTGGTGGAAATACAACTCTTACTACTCTATACATAAACTATGAGACTGGGTAGGGAAAAGACAGAGAGGCAATGACAAACACAATAGAAACCCCACATCGTCTCATGGCAAACCAAAGAAGGGATGTGGGAAGCTTGGCTTCAACTGGCTGCAAAGTCCCAGAGTTTAGTTGCTTATTTGCTCATGCACATGGGTGGCGGGAGGAGGAGGAGACCGCAAAGACACAGAAGAGGGTTCAGAGTGGGGTGAGAAAGAAAACGGAGGGGCTAACACCCCCAAAAGAACAAAGCCACTACACCTGGTAAGCCTTAGAGGGACAGAAACCCAGTGCTAGGGCTGGGTGGGCCAACAGGGTAAATTTGCTGCAGGCTCGGGGTACATCCAGGACAGTGTTGGTCTTCTCCGGCGGTGACCCCCCTGCATTAGGCAAAGAGAAGCCCAGAGGATAGTGGAGACCTTCGAGGGGAACGTTGGGAGAGTACACTGACTGCTCTCTTCCAGCTCTTCAGTCCTGCCCTGAGGCAGGACGAAGGGAATGTGGGGATGGGCAAAGGGAAGGAGGATGGTTTTGCAGAGTGAAATGCTGCTGCGTGGAAGTGGGCACCCAGGCTAGCATGGCCCCAGCCTCTTCCTGCTTGTGGACCAGAGGGCAGAAGTCTGAGAGCACCCCCACACTAGCTTCGGGGTTTATCACATGCAGCGCCCCAGCATGAGACTCAGCAGCAGCTCCAAGACAGACCGAGCAGCTTCCATCCTCAGGTTTCAGGGTCTACTCTAGAGAGCATGCCTACCGAGCATGCAAAGGAGAACAAGAAAGGAGGCAATGCAGAATTCAGATGGTAAGGACGGTTCCAGAGAAGGTACTGGAGGAAGAGCAGCAGACAGCTCCAGATGCGAGGCCCCAGGCTGGCACAGCAGTCACACGCTGGCACGGCACACCCATCACAGCACACCGTCACACGCTGACACAGCACACCGTCACAGCACACCGTCAAACCCGTCACAGCACACCGTCACAGCACACCGTCAAACCCGTCACAGCACACCGTCACACGCTGACACAGCACACCGTCACACCCGTCACAGCACACCGTCACACGCTGACACAGCACACCGTCACAGCACACCGTCACACGCTGGCACCCCTCCCACCTGAGTCTGAGCTGCGGGGTTTGCTGGACTTCTGTAAATCTCTAATGGCCCTCCTGCCTCATCCCTGCGTCAGGCAAGAACATGGGAGTGGTGTGGAGGAAGGGGTTCTGTGGCAGCCTGGGAGTCTCGCCATCTTAAACTCATCTCCCATTATCGACAGCAGGGAGGGTAGAGGACTTTGATAATGAGATGACAAGAAGCATGTTCCCGAAGGCCTGCTGTCTCCAAGCTGACTGGTATTATTTGCTGCCCTCATGAACAACACAGAATGCTTGCTTCAGAGAACATGAGGACACAGCAGCTCCTTCTAGCCAGAAGCACGTAGACAGCTTCTAGGAGAAAGTAAGAGTCGCCCACTCTTTTTTAAATCAGTAAGTACTTGTTTTCTAGGCCTAGAGAGAACAAAACACAGGGCTGTAAAGTTCCCCAAAGATGTAGAAAACCTGGGACTGACAGATAAGCACTAACTACAAAATACAAGTTTGACTTTCTAACAGGGATTCAAAGTTGGTCTTTAAACAGACCTCTGGGATCTGAGACAGGCCTGGTATGAGGGGAAAATTCCAAATGAGGGCAACAGGGTAGTGGTTACCAACTATTCCATAAATATATATACAACAGGCAGCAAGCTACTACCTCCCAACTAGTCTGGGTCCCCTCCTGCTGAAGGCCAGCCTTTCTAGGAGACATTATGGACACAAACACTCTTCTCCACTCCTCAGCCATGCCAGCTTCTCAGACACTTCACCTCTGTCATACCCACCCTCCTCCTCCCCTTGGCCACAACTCTTTTAAGCTCTGGGATACACAAAAACGGGGTAAGGAGGAGGTGCCAGACGTTGCTCTTTGGGTAGTGACTTCAAGACTGGGCCACGAGCAGCATTTCTAGTGTTAAGGAAGACAGTGCAAATGAATGCAACGAAACTGGAGGGGCGGGTGATGGAGAAGCCTAGGCTGGAATGAGGGAAGGCCGATGGAAGAGTGGTTGAGAGGGCAAACAGAGAGAAACAGACATGAGCTCGGACGGCAATGGAGAACAGGGAAGGGATGGCACACTCTCAAGTTAAAAAGTAGACTGGACACAGGAATCAGGAAATCCCAGACGAAGAAGGAAAAAGAGACAGGAGAAAACAAGAGGGCAAGTTACGTCACGTTACTAGACATCCGGTCTCTCAGTTACATGGTACCCCAGCCCCCAGGTCCCTCTCGGACCCAAGCCAATGGCAAACAGCACATCCCACTTCTCAGCCGAGGGGGCCAACTCCCCACAACTCTTTGCAGGGGAGGCTTGTCCATCAGGGAATGCCCTTGTCTTTGTCCTTCCTGCCCCCACAACCCAGGTGGTGACCCCACAGCAGCAGTCTCCATACCTCGGTCACAGCAGCCCCCACTCCCCAGGCAGGCAGGCAGGCAGGCAGGCGGGGCTGGGAGAGGACTCCAGGACCTTCCCACCTCGTCACCCCATCGCAACCTCACGATACTTACTTACAATAACTACCACGATGATGGCGCAGATCACTCCCAGCATTATCATCATCTGAGGACAGAACATGACAAAGCATGACAGAGCACGAGCCCTTGGGCTCAGGAAGGAGAGAAGGAATGGGACTAGAGATGTGAGGTCATCCACAGATCTCTGCTTCTCATAGGGTCACAAAGAAGGACCCTCAGCCTCGTTCTTGTTTAGCTCTGATGCCTGTTCATTCTTGCTTGGAATTACGATGGAAAGGCAAATTCTGTAAAGTGTTTGCTGCATTTACAGAAGTTGTGGGTATTTTTAAATACATATACTGAACCAGTGTGTTGCTGATGGGGGTCTGAGGAAGATCACCAGGTGAGAATTTCTGGGAAAATCTACTTCACTAGTCTAAATTCCTCTACATAGGGCTTTCTGTGTGGTTCTGAATACTCTAGCCTACCCTGGTGGCCAATACAGGTAATGCAAGTCAAGGAGGCATCCAGATCGCAGAGGGAAGCAAAGGCTAGTGGTTTTCTTGCCTCCTACAAGCGAGGAGGAAAAGCAGGAGAGGGCAGGAACCTCACCTTGCAGTTTTTCCACCAGTACTTCCTTTTTAGCTTGGCAGCACTGCTCTCAAATATTGACGCCCCCGCCTGCAAGGCATCAGCTCGGTCATCCAACTCTGACAGCTTCTGGTCCCTCTCCAGGACCTTGTCCACATTCACACGCATGATGTCCACCACCTGAGGGACAGACACAGAGCTGCTGAGATTTCCACACTAGAGACAGAGGAAATGAGCAGTGCCTGGGAGACCACAAGCCAAGGCCTGCAAACCCAAGGGAGGCTGTGCCCATCATAACGTTTCCCCTATAAAAAAGAGAACAGAGGGTTTCTGTTTCTAAGCTTCTTGGTTTAGAAACTGCCATGGAGTGGGCCGGGGCCTACCTCCTCCACTTGTGCTTGGGTTTGCTGTAGTCGTCTATTACTTGTCGTATTAGGGGGAGGACCAGGAGGACCCCCACCTGGGGCAGCCCCTTCTGTTCCCTCAGCGGGGGGCTGAGCTGGAGCAGACCTGTGGAGAGAAGAAAACAGTGCACAGTGACTGAGAGGAGAAGAGGTCCCCGTGCATCATCCTCACTTAGACCAAAGCAAAGGCTGGATGCAAAAGAGGGCATCTTAGCTCCTCTGCAATCCCGAGCGTTGAGATGCAGCTTAGAGATATGCAGCAAAGGACACAAGATCTCCTAACACTTGGATGAGGGTCACATTGTCATTAAGAGATCTTGAGTGGAGCTATCCTGTGATGCAAACATCCTCTGGCAAACGGCCACAGGAACACATATGCCAGTCTTGATCTAAATGGAATTTGTCTGGCCACTAGAAGCTCTTCACATGAAATAAAATGGAAAAACCCCAGCCAGGAAAGAAGAAATCTGTAGAAAAGACTATACTATAAGGACAATGAACTCTGGTTTGAATATTAAAAGGGCAAGCTAGTGACCCTGCTTATGGGGGGTCTGGTTACCAGCTATGTTTCATACTATAACTGGTATACTACAGTTGCTGAAAAGACAATTTGGAGAATCACCAAAGGCAAAGTCTACATGGATGGAATGAGTCAGGAATATTTGCATTATTTTTGGCAAAGAAGATAGGGGTTTCATTTAAATTGAATCTGGGGCCTAAAGCAATTACATTAATTGTTCCAAGAGCACAGACCAGAAGTGAAAATGCTAAAACTAATGTGCATCCAGCATAGATGATCTGTCCCATCCTTCTTCAGACTTGGCAGTGTCTCAGGATACTCTCCTAGTCCCCTGTGTCAGAAGAGAAAGCTTGAGCTACACTACTACACAGCGTGTAAGGACTAGTCCCTCTTCTGGTACCACTGAAGGCAAAGAGTTCTCATGGTCTTAGAAGGGAATAATGCAGAGTGGGTTTGTTTTTGTTTTGATTTGTTTTTCGGTTGGTTTGTTTTTGGGGGTGTTGTTAGGCTTTTTTGTTTTGTTTTGTTTTGTTATTTTGAGATAGGTCTGTCTTGTTCCCTAGCCGTCCTGGAACTCTATGTAGACCAAGCTAGCCTAAAACTGAGATCCACCCGTCTCTGCCTCCCAAGTGCTGGGGTTAAAGGCATGGGCCCATATGCATAGCAAATGTGAGGTCTTTTTTTTTTTTTTTTTTTTTTTTTTGGTTTTTCGAGACAGGGTTTCTCTGTGGCTTTGGAGGCTGTCCTGGAACTAGCTCTTGTAGACCAGGCTGGCCTCGAACTCACAAAGATCCGCCTGTCTCTGCCTCCCAAGTGCTGGGATTAAAGGCGTGCGCCACCAACGCCCGGCAAATGTGAGGTCTTTAAGATAACTTCTCTCTGACATTCACCAGCTAACAAGTACCCAGATTCAAACCTACAGAAGGAGATGATTTTTATTTTCTGCCATGGTGGAGGCTGCACAAGCAAGGTGAAGAGATATCTAAAATTTGATGGAGAATAGAAATTTCTTAAACTCCATAAAACATCCTTGCCATGGCAGTCCAAGAATAAATAAGGTAGAGGTTAAATCATCACAAAGTTACCAAAACAGTAAACTCCTTGATTAATCACAATATAATTAATATCTTGAATCTCCTTTTCCACAGCTAAGTGAAATTTTCTTCTAGACAAGTTGTGATAGCCCCTCAGAGAGGCCAGATTAACAGATTATACTGGCTTCTTCCATTTAAAGAGTCACTTTCCCATTCCCATCCTAGACATCGAGGAAGGAAAGGGTAACACAGGGCCACGGGAGCCACAGGACTTGCACCGCTATTCAGCTAACTAAGCAATCTAGCTCTAGACTGAAGGCAGGGATTTCAATAAATTGGTAGCAGCTAGTGTTGGAGGGAGTCCAGGATGGTGGCACCAATGACAAGATTAAGGTCAGAGCCCTCGTGATTCCCCGCTTCCATCATGCTTTCTCTACCCCCTTCCAGTCATCACACATGAAACCACCTGGAGTGAGTCGGCTAAGAAGGACCCTCTCCCCAAGTAAAAACAGCTAGCAGGCTAAGAAGGACCCTCTCCCCAAGTAAAAACAGCTCATCAGCAACGAAGAGTGTTAAAGTCACAGAGGCCAAAAAGAAAAGTCAGATGACTGTGAGCTTTAGAGGTTTCACTTCACTTATTACTTGTTGGGAGCTAGAAATACTCCACCTATTCAGGGAGTTACAATCCTTATTTAATACAAGTAAATACTTCTGTTTAAAAAAAATCAGCAAGAGAAGCAACACAAACTGAGTGTGGTGGCGCACACCTTTAATCCCAGAGTTTGGGAGGCAGGGGCAAGTGTACCTCTGAGTTTGAGGCCAGCCCGGTCTATAGAGGGAGTTCTGGGACAGCCAGGGCTACACAGAGAAACATGGTCTGGAAAAGCCAAACAAGGGAGAGAGGGAGGGAGGGAGGGAGGGAGGAAGGGAGGGAGGGAGGAGAGAAAGAGAGAGAGCACACACACACACACACACACAAATACATCTAGCACCAGGCAAGAGATTCAGGCAATAAATGGAAAGAAAAAAGAAAATCCTTATTATGTGTATGTGATCATGAAGAGAAGTTCTCAATATCTAGCCACAGATCTGCAGAACGGGGTGGTGCTGAAGACAGCTAAGACTAAACTATGTGTTTTGGATAAAATGAAGAATTCACTGTTCTCCCTATTTCTCCTCCTATACTTGGCTAGGACTCGACCACTGGAAAGCACCATTAGCATAAACGGCTGCATAGGATCTCATGCCACTCCCTGAGACTCTCTGAGCTGCTCACAAGACGCTACAGAACTAGCAAGTTTCTGAAGCTTTGCTCACAGCCATGAGGCAGGTACATCACACCTTGGGTGAGGGCATGCACAAACCTAGAGTTACTAACGGGCAAGTGTACCAATAAAAGTATTCCCAAAGGTTCTAAGAGACAGATTCTTAAACAAACAAGAAGGGTCCCTTAGTTCCCTGTCTGTATCTATACCTCCCCCATTTCTTCCCTTTGGGTTTCCACGATACAAAGAGGAGAGGTGAGGATGCAATGAACGTGGGACCCCCGCGCCCCTGCCCTGCAGAGGAGTGTCGTCTGCAGTTGGTGCGGGATGGAGCGCTGCCCGCATCCCGGGGTGGCCCAGTCCGGGGGCGGCGCGAGCTGGTGGTTCCCGGCGTCGCTGCAGCTGCTGCAATGCGCCATTTTCCGTCCCGCAGAGTTGGACACTGCGGAGGGAGAGTGGGTAAAGAGGTGTCGAGGACCTTAGGCCAGAGTCAACTCACATTTTTCTGACAGAGGAAGTGGAGGTCCGTCCCTCTCTGGAGAATGAAACAAGACAGACAGGGAGACGCTGCGGATGAAGCAGACGGAACTGCCGAGCTCCGCCTCACACGCACTACCCGGAACTCTAATTGCGGTGGTACCTACTGCGGGTGCAGTGCAGACTCCCGACTTTATTAGCGATGACCACGCCTCTCGAATGACGTTGAAGTCTCTGGGTCCAATCCACGCAGGGCATGTCCTTCTGTTGCCCCTACACCGATACCAATCACAGTTCTCCTCTCATTCATTCCCACTCCTTCACCGGCCAATACAACAGTGGTTTGTTTAATGTCCAGCAGACTCTAGGGGCCAATCGCTGAGCTGGAGGCTCCTGCCACTCTTAATTGCCCCGCTGCACTTGGCTAAAGGAAGCCCAGGTGACCTGGACGCCGGACTCTGACAGGCTGCGGTGGCTCAGCAGTGTATGCATATTCATAGAGCCCTGACTAGACGAACACCCCCTCACCCTCCCTGCCTAAGAACGTCAGGCCAGATATCTTTCAATAAAGCCTCTACTAAATTAAACTTCGTCCCTAAACGGCAACTTCTAGGTTACCACAGCAACTTAATTAACCCAGCCCAGAAATCTGAACTAAATTAGACTTCCCTATTTTCGGTTTGGTTTTTTTTGGGAGGGGGAGGGGTTGTTGTTGGTTTTTTTGTTTTGTTTTGTTGATTTTTTTTTTTACCATTCTTTTTCTTTACTTTTTTTTTTTTAAAGATTTTCCCCCACTTATTTATAGTACAAATTCTTGCCTGCATGTATGCATGCCTAGTGCCCTTGGAGACCAGAAGAGGGCTTAACCTCTGGAACTTGAGTTACAGATGATTTTTTAGTGCGTGTGAGAGCTGGGAACCAAATCCTCTGCCAAAGCAGTGTGTTCTCAACCGCTGAGCCATCTTTCTGCTGCCTCACCCATTTCCTTTTTACCCCACCTCCAAAAATTTATTAAGCCTAATAGATATTTTTCCTTTTGTTTTTCTTTTGTTTTGGTTTTTCGAGACGATTTCTCTCTGTAGTACTGGCTATCTTGGAACTAGATCTGTAGACCAGGCTGGCCTCGAACTCACCAAGATCCTCCTGCCTTTGCCTCCCAAATGCTGGGATTAAAGGTGTATGCCGCCATGGCCAGGCCGATTTTTCCTTCTTAATATATAAAGAATTCTCTTCTTTCTCTCAATAGTATCCCTTTCCTAGACATCAGTTGTAAAACTCAACGTTATTTTATGCCTCACGTCTTAAAAAGAAGTTATAAGTGTGATGCACTTTCTTAGCCTTGTAATTTTTATTTTACATTTATTGAAAGCTTGGGTTTGTCTGCAGTGTAAATTTTTATCTCAACCTTGGACATTCATACAAAGGAAAATAGAAAATAATATCATAATAATGGAACACTTATGGCTTCACATTCAGAGGCTCTTTCTTTTTTATAACAGGCTCTTGTAGTCCATGCTGGTTTAAAACATGATTTGTAGCCATGAATGACCTTGAAATTCTGGTCCTCCTACTTCCACTTCCGGAGTGCTTGGATTGCAGACATGTACCACCATGTCTGGCGTCTGCAGTATGGGGGTCACACTCGGTCCTTTTGCATGCTAGCCACCTGAGCTACATCCCCATCCTCCAGAGGCTAATCCTCAGTGATTCATATTTTTCACTCAGATGTCCACACGCTAAATCTTTGGTGGTGCAGCATTTCCTAAGAGACTAAAGAGAGCCCTCTTCCCCCCCTGGAATTTTCTTTCAAACCTCTGGCATTCATTTTTTAAGTTTTGATGCTCATGAGCAGGTATGACGAATACAGTGAATACAATGTGAATAATACCTGACTAATAGCTACAGCAAAGCGTTTCATTTTCATAGATGCCAAAATGCAAAAGAGAGAAAGGAAAGGGGGGACACCCTAGAAACAAGCCTGTGTCCAATCTTATTACCATGGGATCTATCAAAATACCATAATCACCATACATGGCATTTATTTTTCTTTCTAAAAATTGTTTCTTGGGCTGGAGAGATGGCTCAGAGGTTAAGAGCACTGACTGCTCTTCCAGAGGTCCTGAGTTCAATTCTCAGCAACCACATGGTGGCTCACAACCATCTGTAATGAGATCTGGTGCCCTCTTCTGGCGTGCAGACATACATGGAGGCAGGATGTTGTATTCATAATAAATAAATAAATCTTTTTTAAAAATCGTTTCTTTAAGAGGATGGGATAGGGGATCACTGCGGGGCAGGGGAGGAGGGAAGGGAGAGAGAACTGGGATTGACAATATAAAACAAGCTTGTTTCTAAGTTAAATTAAAAAAAAATTCTAGGGCTGGAGAGATGGCTCAGAGGTTAAGAGCACTGGCTGCTCTTCCAGAGGTCCTGAGTTCAATTCCCAGCAACCACATGGTGGCTCACAGCCATCTGCAATTCAATCTGGTGCCCTCTTCTGGTGTGCAGACAGAACACTGTATATGTAATAAATAAATCTTTACAAAAAAATTCTAAAACACACACACACAAATTGTTACTTTAAATCCTCTTTGTTTTGCTTGTTTTTTGAAACAGGGTTTCTCTGTACAGCCCTGGCTGTCCTGAAATTCATTTTGTAAACCAGGCTGGCTTCAAACTCAGAGATCCACCTGCCTCTGCCTTCTGAGCCCTGGCATTAAAGGCATGTGCCACCTTGCCTAGCTCTTAGATCTTTTTGCCTCATGGAGGTTATGACCTGGTTTGGTTTTCTGAGATGGATCAAGCCATACTCCTGCTTCAGCCTTCCAAGTGCTGGGATGACACTGAATGGCATTTTAAAAATGTGTTCATGAGCTGACAAGAAGTAAACATGGTCTAAAGGCCAATGCGAGTGAAAGCTGATACTCCGAGAGGCAGCTGAACACTGAACATTGAGCTTGAGCATGGTGGCCTCATGGGATGCCACTGTAGCATAGGAAACAACCTGAAGGTCTTCCTCAGAGTTGGAAATCTAATAGAAAGTCGGCAAGTGAAGCTGGAAGCCCTGTATTGGCAACTAAGTTTCTAAAGTGCTAGTACTCAAGTGCTCTGCAAATGAAATTATTTGCAAACTGTGTGCCCACTGAATCAATCTCTCTCTCCCCCTCTCCCCCCTTTTGAATATTTGAATTCATAACCCCAAACTATGTTTTTTAAATACTTTTGCCTGAAATCCTTGTTTTAGTCATTTTTGAAAGCTTTTAGCATCTCCTCTTCCTAAAATTAGCATGACAAGAATTTCCAAGTGGTCTGGGGTTGACAGCACTCAGCACCTGCAGGAGCAATGCAGCCCTCCCTGTGAGCTCCCATGCAGCAGAGGCCTTGGGGAATTTCCACAGACACAGTTCCAAGAGAAATAAATTGTGGTCATATGCTGCAAACAAATCAGGGAAGAAATGCCAAGAATCAGAGGGGCCAAGGCAGGAATTAAGGAAATTTAAAAGTCATGCCAAGCAGTTCAATGTCTGAGTAATAAAGGATCCCAAAAAAGGAGAAAACAGGAAATATGAGAAAAGGAAATGATGGATATGGAGTTAATTATCAAATATATGCAACAAAAACTTTCAGAATTAAATGAGCTTTTCCAGACCAAGTAGTGGGTTCCAGCTACCACAGTGAAAGAAACAGAATCACACCAAAGACACAACTTTCTATAATCTGAGAACAAGGGAGAAAAACAGAGAGTCTTAAAATCTTTCAAAAAGAGAATAAAAATGGAACAGGAAAGAAAATGGCATCACAATACTGGAATACATGGCAGTGGATCTTTTTAAAGCAACAACAACTTCCAGGGGCTAGAGAGATGCTTGACAGGTAAGAGCGCTGGCTACTTTTCCAGAGGATCCAATTTTAGTTCTCAGCAGCCACATGGTGCCTCACAAGCATCTCTAACTCCAGTTCTAGGGGATCTAACACCCTCTTTTGGTCTTTACAGGAACTGCACACACATGCACATATGTACATGGAAGTGAACACACTTCCTACACATATACATAAAATAAATATTTTTACCTGGGCAAAATGATTATTAATCTAGAATTCTATAACCTCTCAGGTTTTAATAAAGGTCAGAAGAAACTGGGACTGAAGTCACATACCTGTGATTTCACCACATAGGAGAGAATGGACAAGAAGGTCACTTGATGCTAGAAGGTCAAATCAGTGCCACCTGCCATGACTAGATTAGGAGAAAGTACACCCTATGATAGATGATCCCCTTGCAAGACACTAATCAAGTATCTGACATGCTTAGGCATTTGGAAGCTGTTTTGGTTGGTTTCTATCGCCACGACAAAGCACCATGACCAAGGCATGACTTTCTTATAAAAGAAAGTCTCTAATGTGTAGAGTGGTGTAAAATAATTACTTTAACTATATAAGGATGTGTTACATTGTTTTATGTTGCAAAATATTGCTTTAACTGTGTAAAGGTGTGTTACATTGTTTTATGTTGTGAAATATTGTTTTAACTGTGTAAATGAGTGTTAAATTTGTTTAACTATGTAAAGATGTGTTACATTTGTTTAATTCTGTAAAGATGTATAGCTGTTTTATCTTGCCTGCTTAAGGCACCTGATTGGTCTAATAAAAAGCTGAACAGTCAATAGCTAGGTAGAGGAGGGATAGACAGGGCTGATGAGCAGAGAGAATAAGTAGGAGGAGGAATCTAGGCTCCAGAGAGAAGAGATGAGGGAAAAAGGGGGAGACTCCAGGGAACAGCCAGTCAGGCAGCTGCCAGACAGACAGACACAGAAGAAGCAGGAAAAGTAAGGCATACAGAAAGAAAGAAAGGTAAAAAGCCCAGGGGTAAAACGTAGATCAAGAGAAACAGGTTAAATTGAGTTATAGGAGCTAGAGGGATAAGCATAAGAGAAGGCCGGGCATTCATAACTGATAAGGAGTCTCTGTGTCATGATCTAGGAGCCGGTTGGTGGCCCAAAAGAAAGCCTGCTACAGTGGGCTCACAGTTCCAGAGGATTAAAATAACAATCATGGCAGGGAACATGGCAACAAGCTAGCTAGACCTTAAGGTCTGGCCCACAAGCATGAAGCAGAGAGAGAGCTAAGTGGGAATGGCCAGGTGTTTTTCAACTCCAAAGCCCACCCCCAGTGACATACCT